CCACCCCAGCTCATCTCTGCTACGTCCCCTCCCCGAGCGCGCGGTCACCGCTCCACTTCTCCCGCCTCCCAGGCTTGCGGTGCCAATCAGCTGTTTGGCGCTGCAAGCCTGGGAGGGGAGGAGAATTAGAGCGGGGGCGGCGTGCTCGGGGAGGAGGCGGAGCAGAGGTGAGCTGGGGTGGGGAGCTGCTGCACGGCTCCCCGGGCCGGGGGGGTGGGGAGCTGCCACGGGGGGGGGGTGTGCCTCAGGGTGGGGGAGGGGGCGGGGAACTGCCGCAGGGCTTGGGGGGGCGCAAGGTGGAAGTTTCGCCTAGGGCGCGAAACTTCCTTGCACCGGCCCTGGAAGGGAGAGACAAAGTGTGGGAGGCAATCTCTGTTATTGGAGCAACTTCTGTAGGTGAAAGGGACAAGCTTCGGAGCCACATAGAGCTCTTCTCGATGTCACTGGAAAGCTTCTCTTTCCCCAATAGAAGTCAGTCCAATAAAAGAGATCACCTTCCGCAACTTGTCTCTCTCATACCTTGGGACCAACACGGCTACAACACCACTGCAAACAAGTTGTGGAGGAAGGCATCTTCTAGAAGAGATGATGGATGGTGGCTGGACGTGTGGAAGCAGACTGCTGAGGGCAAGGAAGAGATCATTGAAACATGTGCCAGAAACAGAATCGCTAACTTCAAAGGGTCAAAAATTATGAGTCAGATTCCAGAAAATCATGAGACTGCCACAAAAATCAAGAGTTGGTTTTTGTTTCTAAAGGCGACGCTTGGGGATTTGGGGCTTTTTGATTGTTGACCTCCCTCTGCTCACCCCAATGTGTGCGTGTGTGTGAGACAGTTACAGTGCCGCCATCTCTCCCAATTTTATACCGTGAGGTGATTTGGCCCCTGCTCTAGGCAGGGCCGGCTCCAGGCACTGGCCGAGCAAGCTGGTGCTTGGAGCGGCAGCTTGTTGGAGGCGGCATTCCGCCCAATTCTAGGGCGGCACGGCCGCCTTGTTGTTGTTGTTCCGCTCCGGCTGCCCTGTAGGGGGCGGTGGCGCGGAGGACGGGAGTGCCCTGCAGCAAGCCTGGCAGGGCAGCCCGCGTCCTTCTCTCCCAGCTGACTGGAGTGGTGCGGAGCCCTCCCGGCAGGGGGCACGGCGGGAGAGGCCACGTGGCAGCGCCACGCTGAAGCCCTGGCCGCCCCCCTTCTCTCTCTCCCCCCGCACTCCCTCCCCTTCCCCCCGCTAGCCAGGGTACATCTGCAGCGCAGGGAGTCTCCCTGCACCCTGGCTCTGGCCACGCCACAGGGGTTTTTTTTTTTTTTTTGCTTGGGGTGGCCAGAAAGCCAGAGCCGGCCCTGGCTCTAGGTGCTCTCGCTGGCTGCCAGGTAGGGTGAAGCTTCCAGCTTCTCCCTAAGTGAAGCTTCCAGCTTCTCCCTAACCCCTCAAATTCTAACTCATTCTGTGCCCCCAGCCCCAAATCTGCCTGCTCCCCAGCCCAGCAATTAATACTGCCCAGCCCCCAGCCCCACAACTGCCCTGTGCCCCTCAGTGCACCTCTGCTCCTCCTGCAGCTCCAGCGGTTGCAGGGATGGAGAGGGTGTGGGGGGAGGAGCAGAGAGCAGACTGGTCCATTGCTCATGTGTCGGGGGGGGGAGAGGGGAGGAGGGAGCAGGGTCGCCCCAAGCTGCTGGGGTTTTTCTGCTCCCTTCTCTGCTTTCCCTTACCCAAAATCTCCTTTTGGGTCCCGAAGGGCTGGGGAGGAGAGAGCTCTCCCTGCCGCCAAAGCAGCCCTGATTGGCTGTTCTTCCCCAGGAGGCAGGGAAGTGGAAGAGGCAACCAATCAGAGGGGCTTTCCCCCTGGGCAGGGCTAGAAATTGGACGAGGGTTGGAGTTTTTCATGACCTTGTGAAGCTGGCTCCAGCTGTGGTCTAAGTCGTGAGAGTTGGCACCGCTGGAAACTGGAGGAGACGGCGGGCTGCACCGGAATGAACTGGCCACAGCCTCTGAAGGGAGATCTCACCACAGCCTCTGAAGGGAGATCTCACCACCACTTGCAAACTGGATAGCTTCTAGTCCCCTCTCTGCTCTGCTTCCCATTCTGTTTAAACAGGAGGGCCTTAAGGTGGAGCAGGTAGCCTTCTTGATTACCCCAGGTAGTTTTGGTTGTGAGCACCTGGCTGGCCCTTAAAGGGATAGTACACTCCTTTGCAAGGTACCACCATTTCCTTCCTCAGGAACAAGACACAGGCCTGCGATGAAATGCTTAGAATCAGGTGTCCCAGACCACTGGAGACACACCCTTTGTGTTATAACATTTATACAATGTGTTGGGAACATTTTAATTAACAAGGTGATGGGAGAGCCAACCTGCTCCAGAACCTCTGCCAGCCTATTAGATTTCCTCCTTCCATCATGTCTTTATTTATAAAAAGAAGTGTGCCGTTTTCTTTCTATATAGTTGAATTCTGATCAGTCCGTTTTCAGCCTAAGCCTTTTGCGGACCCCTCAGACATAGTCTGCAGACCCCCAGATTGAGAACCACTGGTTTATTTGAGTCCCTTCCTTCCTTTCTGTGTCCAGACTGGCAGGAGAAATTCCATCTGGGGGGAGGCAAACCCTAACCCTTTGCTCTTCTCTGCAATGGGAAGTGATTTCAAACCGAACACCTGAGCGCCAGCCAATCAGGGAGGGCCATCTCTAGTTGCCAAGGCAACCTTCCTTCCTTTAATGCCTAGCCCATGCGGTGACACCTTGGATTGTGCTGGGTGCCGCTTGCCTGCCTGACCGTCTCCCACAGGTACCTCCTTGATTCCTGCTCGTATACAATTTGCGCGGTCCTTGGGGATGATACATGTAAATGTTGTTACTGATCGGGGACAATGTTGCCGTGAGCCTCTTTCCCCCTCGCCCAGATGCCCGTAATGCCCCTGCAATGCAACCGGCAGCTAGGACGCAGAGTGACAGGTGTATTATGAACATCTCCCCCATTCTACCAGGCTGATGGGACGGACAGTGGCGATACTGAAAAGGGACCAGTCCCCTTCGCCCTTTTCAGAGCACTGGCCGGGGGAATAGCAAACAGAGGGGGGAAGTGTGGGCATTGATTTTAAATGTGAAACTCCTGATCAGAAAGGGGCACCTTCTCGGGCAAAGAGTTTATTGCAGGCCAGACATGAGTCAAGCCCATGGGAGTCACTCGGATGAAAATGGAAGGAGCGTGGCCTTTACAAGGGCCAGATCCCGCTCCGGTTAGGACCTTATTGCTGACCAGATTCGGAGCCGATGGAGGTCAGGGCGGCTGTCGGCGGAGTCGGATTACGGTTTACCTTCCTTGCCGGGGCTAAGGAACGAACCCGGGTCTGTGGCGCGCCTGAGTGCAGCTGAAAAGTTGAAGCATTGGTGCTTTCTATTGAGCGCCCACTGCCGCAGTGGCGTCGCAGCAAGCGACAGTGCTACACCCCCTGGCTCTGCGTCCACAGTCTGCCTCGGTCAATGCCGAACCGTCCCAGGGCTGCGTTTTGCAGCCACACTATTGTCGAGCCCTGAAGCGAATCAAAGGCACCCTCGCCTGGGGGAGGGCGGCCTGTGATTGGAGCGACTGGGGGGGGGGGGTGGTGTGGCAGCGAATTGACAATTCAGGCAGCCGCAGCGGAGAGCACAATTCTGCAGCTGCTGAAAACTCACCTTTCCCCCTCTTTCTCTCTCTCTCCCCTTGAACCCCCTGCGTGCTGAGAAGCCTACCTCCAACCCCGGCGGTATTCTTCATCTCCCGGCAGCACCAGCCGTTGGCAGGCATCCCCCATGATCTAGCATCATCCATCCCCAACAGCATCCAGGCCTTTGCTGTCTCGCCCCCCCCCCCCGATGGGACAGCTGCCAACATGAGCACCGATGCCAGCCACCTGCCTGCGGGATCCCAGGAGGCGAGCGGGGCTCTGTGGACTCCATCCAGCTGGATAGCTTCCGACGTCCCTCCCAACGCCAGCACCTCCTTGGCCCAGCCGGATCAGTGGCAAAGGGCGGAGGAGTGGGGTGGCACTACCGGAGAGATTGCGGGCACGGTCGCGATCCAGTGTATCTACGCCCTGGTGTGCCTGCTGGGGCTTCTCGGCAACTCCCTGGTGATCTTTGTCATCCTGCGCTACGCCAAGATGAAGACGGCCACCAACATTTACCTGCTCAACCTGGCCATCGCCGACGAGCTCCTCATGCTTAGCATCCCCTTCGTGGCGACTTCGGCTGCGCTGCACCACTGGCCCTTCGGCCGGGCCCTGTGCCGCACCGTGCTGGGCGTGGACGGGCTCAACATGTTCACCAGCGTCTTCTGCCTGACCGTGCTCAGCCTGGACCGCTACATCGCTGTGGTGCACCCACTGCGGGCAGCCACCTACCGCCGGCCCAGGGTGGCCAAGATGGTCAACGGAGGGGTCTGGCTGCTCTCGCTTCTGGTGGCCTCGCCCATCCCCATCTTCGCCGGCACAGCGGCCACGCACGACGGCCGAGCGGTGGCCTGCAACCTGCTGTGGCCTAGTCCGGCCTGGTCAGCTGCCTTTGTGGTCTACACGACCTTGCTGGGCTTCCTGCTGCCGGTGCTGGCCATGGGCTTCTGCTACCTGCTGATTGTGGGCAAGATGCGGGCGGTGGCTCAGCGGGTGGGCTGGCAGCAGCGGCGGCGCTCGGAGGGGAAGCTGACCCGGCTGGTGTTGATCGTGGTGGCCATGTTTGTGGTGTGCTGGATGCCCTTTTATGTGGTTCAGCTGGTGAACCTGCTGCTGCCCGGCCACCTGGATGCCACGGTGAACAATGCCTCTCTCATCCTCAGCTACTCCAACAGCTGCGCCAACCCCATCCTTTACGGCTTCCTCTCGGAGAACTTCAGGCACTCCTTCCACGGGGTGCTGCGGCGATGCTGCGACGCCAGCTTCTGCTGCTGCTGCCACCCGGACCTGGGCGCCGCTGAGGAGGAAGAGGAGGAGGAGCCGCTAGATTACTGTGCCGTCCCCAAGGGGGAGGAGACGAGCAAGGGCTGCATGTGCCCATCTTTGCATTGCCAGCGGGAGCCGGTGCACCCTGAGCCCTGCTGTACTCCTGGCACCCTCCTTGCAAAGACCACCACCTTCTAGATGGCCTGTGTCTTCCTCCTCTGCCTTCTGAAAGGGTGCTTCCTCCTGGCCCGGCCCCCGCCTTGGCAGGACCAGCATCTTGCAATGAGCACCATTGCCCTGCCGCTGCATCTCACCCTTCAGAAACAGACGAACGGGGTAAAGAAGCCTGCGTAAGTCCTCGGCGGGAGGGCCAGTTGCTTCTAGGTTGGCTCCTGCCTTTGGGCTGCGGCTGGGATGGGGCTTGTATGGGTGCTGGGTAAGCTGGGTGAAAGACCTGCACCTGCTTTTTTCTCTTTGGGTGCCTGGGCTTGTGTCTTGATCGATACCTTCTGTAGCCTGAGCAGTCCCTTGCCACTGAGACCGTGGGGACGGTGCTTGGAGTAAGGTGCCACTCAAGGTGGCAAAGGGGAATGAGGATTCTTTTAGCCCCTCCCATCCCAGGCATTTGCTCACAGAGCAGGAGTTCTCTGTTGGCCTTCTCTGACATGGGCTGTTTCCTATGAGGGGAGGGATAGTTCAGTGGTTTGAGCATTGGCCTGTTAAACCCAGGGTTGTGAGTTCAAATGTTGAGGGGGCCATTTAGGGGTCTGGAGCAAAAATCTGTCAGTGACAATACTTGGTCCAGCCTGTGACCTTTCCAGCTCTATGAGATAGGTATATTATTAAAAAATACAAATATAACTGATTGCCAACATTACTTTAAAAATATTTTTGATTTACTTGGGGACTGGTCCTGTTTTGAGCAGGGGGTTGGACTAGATGACCTCCTGAGGTCCCTTCCAGCCCTGATAGTCTATGATTCTATGTTTCTATGAGCCTGGCTCAGCACAAGGGGCTAGGGATATGATACAGGTTAATGGTCAGCATTGGGACCACATCCTGCGCCTGATGACTTCAGGACGAGTTTTTCTGCTGATCTCGCTCAGCCCTTCTAAGGCCAGGCTGGTAATTAAAATGCAAGAAAGAGAGCGAGAGAATGTATTTTCTTTAATCTTTTGTGACCAGTGTTCGGAAGGGGATGCGCTATCCTTAGCAATTTATGACTAGATTTTCAGAAGAGCACAACTCCCATTAAAAACAAAGGGGGCTGTGGGGTCCTTTTGAAAATCCACCCATTAACCTAATAAAGTGTCTCTAAAGGGAAAACAGTACCCTAGTTTGCAGAAAGTACAATGAGTGACAGTAACCTAACCCCAAAATATTGATTTCAGGCTCAGCCTAGCTCCGATGTAGTGAATGAGAATTTTGCCATTGACATGAGCATAAACAGAATCCAGACTTTTTAAATGCTTGAGGTTCTTTTAGATCCTTAGAAAGAGCAGTGGTGGGTAGGACTGAGCTGTAGTTGTGCCATGAATGATCCGATCTGTAATTGTGTCATGGAAAAATAAAAAGCCATCATGTTGGCCTGTAACGCTGTTATTATTATCCCTGAGTATTACATTATGGGGATGGTTTTGTTTTTTAAACAAACAGCCTTCACAGCATACAAGATCTTTAGGCATAAAAAGTGGAAAGCTACAGTCTGAAATGTATCCTGGTGAATCAGTAATAAATCCTAACCATGAACCAACTCCAAAGGTTTGTAGTCAGGAGTTTTCCATCCTCCATGGAATTCCTGCATTTTAGGGGCTCAAATGCACTTGTTCTCATTTGGCTTTCCTTAAAATTCTTGCCGTACCTAAAAACACTGTCTCCTGGAAGTCACTGAGCGTGACGTCCTGCCATGTTCTTGAGATGCCCGTTCATACCCTTAGAGATTGCTCCAACTGCTCCAGCGATCACTGGAATCATCGTTGTCCGCGTTTCCCGTAATCGTTCCACTTTGTGGCATAGCTCTGCATAGTACTTCACTGTCGTCTCGTCTTGTTTCCTTTTTATGTTTCAGTCTGCTGGGATGGCAACATCCATCAACATGGTCCCATTGATCTTCTTTCCTACAACAACTCATTACTGTTAATTATTATCATTACCATAGCACCTAGTTAGAGACCAGGACTCTGTTGCACTAGAAACCCAGAACAAAAAGACGGTCTCAGAGCTCACAATCTAAGTAGTCACATGGACACTGGAGCCCACTTTAATCCTCATCACTCTCAGTTGACAAAGGAGTACAAGAATTGGAGGTGGACAGGTTTATCTGAGATGCTTCCAATTTGGGCCCCCACCATGCCTGTGCTTACCGTTCTGCACTGCGAGTAGTCCCGTTGTCAGTCGATGAGACAGCTCGTAGGGTGGATAAACAGGTGCTTCTATCTTTTCAAGATCAGGACGTTGGGAGCCATAGCGGTCCTGGGAAGATTTATGTAAGGGATTCCATCTGCTGGATACGCCCTGTAAAATGGCATTAAGTGACTCCTGTCCTCTGGCTAACCACTGCACTATCTTGGCAGCTCGTCATGGGGCTGGTTCTCCTGGCTCTTCGCTTTGTGCAGTCCTTTCCACCAGTGTGATGTGCCCCTAGCGTTCTGATCCGGTTACATGTCGCACCCATTTTGCCTTCATGTAAAGGACGGCACCAGATGCAGGAGACTCAGGCCCCACAAACGCTTGCACAACAACCGCCGGTGCTGGTTTCCCAGAGCTGCTGATCACTCTCTAACTGCATCACTGCCAGTTGAGGTACAGGCAAAGGTTATGTTCCCAAAGGACAACCCTGTGCTGCCCTTTTGACTTTGACAACTGTTACACTGTTCTTAATTTTCAGTTGCACATGAGGGAGGCAAAGGGATCTTGGCCTGGGAGAGGTTCTTTAATAACATTTCAATTATGCTCAAGCAATAAAAAGTACAAAGCTAATTTCTGGGTGTGCTGGGATATTGCCATGCCTTGGGTGTGTACAATAACAATCAGCCCCATGACTACAAATGTTCCCAACATCGAAACACGCCCTTCTCTCCCTTGCCGCTCACAGGAGCCTTGGCACGGCATGTAACTCAGGATATTGTCAAATCTCGAGAGTGCTTTAGTTAAGTGTCTTCGATTCAGAGAGCTAAGGCCAGAATGGTCACCTAATCTGACCCCTGTAGCCATAGAACATCACCCAGTGAGTCCTACATCAAACCCAGCACTGCAGGATGAACTAGATTAGAGAGCATCTTGTAGAAAGACGCCCGGTATTGATTTAAAGACTCCAAGTGGTGGCGAATTTGCCACATCCCTTCGCAACCTGTCCCAATGGTTAATTACCCTCCCCGATAAAAACATGCATCTTATTTCCAGTCTGACTGAGTTAGGATGATAACATTAAGAAAAATCCCACTGGATGGCTTCTTATAGGGGTGGCTATAGAGTAGGTTTTTGTTTCTGTCATGACTTTTTTCATTTAAAACACCTGTGGCTATTAATTGATTTTTTCCATTGTTTTTCTGCTATAAAAATGATTCACAGTAGAAGGATCAGAGGAAATAGTAGAAAAGGCGTGTTTGGGGGACTTTTACTATTATTAATTTAAGGGGGGTCCTTTTTCTTAATTTTTCGGTTAGTTCAGATACATTGGATGGGATTTTCAGAAGCACTCAGTGTTGGCCTATGGCTTTATCTGTACTAGAAAGTTGTGCCTCTTAACTATGCTGGTATAGGGCTAGTGTTATACTGGTATGGTTAAAGTGGGACAACCACACACACACTGGTACAAGGTGAGGATGGGGAATAAACTGTATTAATGTAAAGCATCTTTATTCCAGCATAATTGCTCTGCGCGCTGCCCCATCCGCAGGTGCCACCCCTGCAGCTCCCATTGGCCATGGTTCCTGGCCAATGGGAGCTGCGGGGGCGCCGCTTGGGACGGGGGCAGTGTATGGAGCCCTCTGTCTGCCCCTATGCGTAGGAGCCGGAGCAGGGACATAGCGCTGCTTCTGTGAGCCATGCGGAGCCATGGCACATGTGGAGCAGGGCAAGCCCCCGCTACCCAGCTGGAGCGCCAGAGCGGGACAAGCAATGGACCCTGCTCCCCAGCGGTAGCTCAAGGGCCGGATTAAAACGTTTGAAGGGCCGGATGCGGCCCCCAGGCCATAGTTTGTCCACCCCTGCCTTAGACCAACACTGACTGCTTTTGAACATCCCACCCGAGGCTTAGGGACTCTGGACCAGCCTATATCCTGGGGAAGAACATTACTGTTGGTGTTCAGAAGTTTCTCTGGCCTTCCCTTTCTGTTCAGGACGTTAACCTAGTTACAAAGCCTGGATTCACCGGAGAAGGGGACAATGTTCAATTTGAACATTTAACATGGGGACAGAGGAACTGTGCATGTGGTATCTTCCATTTGCTTTTATTAAACAATTAAAAGTGGCCTGTCCCAAATGAAGGACTTGGAAGTCTGGACCAGACTGGTAGCTTCGCTTTGTAAAAGTCTGGATCAGTTTCCCCATGAATCACCAGGTTTCAATGAAGCTTCATTTCTCTAGCTTGGTTATTTTTGTCACTTAAAAATCAAAATTCAAAAACTCAAGTGTTGGGTATTTAATGCCTCCTGATTTTCCCTGTTATTCAACCTCCCGGGTCATTTACCCCAAGACAAAGCGAATGCTAAACGCTACCAAATCAGAGAGGTAGCATTATGCAACTGCTTTGCACCTACTTTGCACGCACCTTGCACTGGTGTAAACGATTGCACAAGGAGCAAAGTGACAAGGTGCAAGATCAAGACCGTACAGCTGGCAGTGTGACCAGGACATGAATTCCACTGGAAGTCCCTCTAGAGGAATCTATTTCCTAGGGGTGGGGAGTTGGTTCTCAGTGTTGTTTATTTTATAAGTATGTGGTTGGGGCGGGGGGAGGTCATGGCAGCATGTTCTCCTCTCCATTACTGGTTAGCATATCTCCTCTCTATGACTGGTGAGCTCTGCTAACTGGTGTGTGGATGGCAAGGGGAGGGGCACTCCCTCCACAGGCTTCCCTCCCCCCATGAGATAGGCCACACCCTAGCAAGCTCCAACAGGGAGCAGTCACTGTGTTTATCTGCAATTACCCGGCCCTTGTACCAAGACTCCTTACGCTTTCCCCCCATTTTGTACTACCAGGAATTTGTGCTGGAGCTCCCTAGTGCACAGAAAGAACATGCCTGTTGCTACACGCTTCCAATGGAGGCACCATACTGCCCACTGAGAGCCTGGGAGCAGAGCTGACCGGTGCACGGAGGGCAGGGGAACAAGGAGGATGGGTCCGCCTCCTCTCCATCCATTTAGGGCATCGGAGGGTGCATAGAGGCAGCAGCCTCTGCCCCACTGTCACAGGCGGGCGGGCAGGGCACTTAAACGAGATGGAAAGTTCCTTGTGTGCATCTCCTCCACGGGCCGCGGAAAGAGCCTGGCAACATCCGGCCCTTCAATTACATTCTGCTTCACCCTGAACAGTTAAAACAATATTTGGTGGCTCTCCCGCTGTCTGCAGACGGGCGAGCTGGCTGACCCAGCAGCCCAGGGCAAAGCTCAAAAGGCAGAGGGAGAAAAGGGGAGGATCAGGGGGAATCGTTCACCCACAGCTGGATCTTCCGAGAGTTCATTCCAAGGAAGTTTAAACCCTGACCTGACTTTGCTGTCCAAGATCTCCCAGACGTAAATCAGGGTGGGGTGAATCATCTGGAACCCATATTCAAGGGATGACATCAGTGGCAGGTGGGGTATTTGTAGGGCTGGAATTCATCATATCACACTAAGTCCTACTTCCCTTACTCATAGGAATTGTCCCCTGGGTCTCCCGGACTCCAGCGAGCCTCCTGATGTAGGGTTGAGTCTCTCATATGCCACCCAAAGGGAAACACTTGGATGCACTGTCAGATGTAAACTTTTGGGGTTGTTTTAAAACAAAACCATATTATTTATGGGCATACATTGAAGCAGCTCTAGGGGAAACATCTGTATTTCATTTACTTGTCGCTGCTTTGAATAAAAATTGAAGTGGACGTACCTAATGTAAACCTCTTAGAATAATGAAAGCTTGATTCCCAGTTGCTCCTTTCCTGCACGGGTGGGGAGGGGGAGGCAGAGATGAAGAGAGGGGATTAAGTGGCTTTAAGTATATTCTGGGGCGGTGCAGGGCTCTGCCTGCCCTTTGGTATAAGTCAGAGTAGCCTCAGGGTGGCTCTAATTTACACGCTGCTTCCCATGGCTCTCGTTAGCGCTGAGATGCAATGAACAGCCATAGTGCCATCCAGTCCAGCCACGCCCCGATCTATCTCCTGTGCTGGGACCTGGAAGCCAGGCAGGGGTAGAGCACTTCACCAGCCTTTCACTGGCAAGGTATTCTCAGAGGGCCATTTTCATCCCTTTGAGGTTCCTTCACGTTTCAGTGGTTTTCATGTCACTGAGACTTTAAAAGCCTGTGAGTAATAAGGGGACATGGCCAAAAAGTCTCTGTGAAAGGACCGTTATTAAAATGGCTAATGATGGGTACTGTAGGTGCTGCAGCATGAGTTGGCAATCAACTCTTAGAAAACCAGAGGGGCAAACCCTGCTCTCTGTTACATCGTTACCTTCCAAGGAGTTGGACCCGTGCAGCTGGGGGCGGACAGGAGTGTTTGGGCTCAAATCCTGGGAAAGTGAGCAGAGCCGAGAAAAAATAACTAAAATGTAACTCCTGCACCCAAACACAAGCCCATCGATGCATGGGCCTGGGGAACAGAAACGAGGGCACTTCCTGATGATGTCAGGGTTCTGATCCATCAGCCTTGATTTACAGTAAGGTAGGAGTCCCTTTCATTTCCTGGTTCTGGGACTTTTGTTGCTGTGTTGGTTTAGCGAAAGAAAGGGGGTGGGGGGAACCACAATAAAATTGCCAGTAGTTTGCAAGCTCCTTGAGTTGCACCTATGTGGACTGGCTCCACAACGTAATTACTGCCCTTGAATAAGGTGACCAGTTCCTAACCATCCTTGACTGAGATCACTGGAATCCAGCCACCCTGGATGGAAGTTTTGCAAAACCAGCCACCCTTGACCCAAACCTCCTGACCACCCATGGGTAGTGGGCCACCCCTTCATCTTTTATTGTCACTCTTCTCTCTCGGGGGTGAAATCCTGGCCCCAAGGACGTGAATGGCCAAACCCCCACTGACTTCAATGGGGCCAAGGTTTCACCCATCACCTTTTAATTGCATTTTCTCGCCAAAGAAAATGCTTCTGGCAGCCTTTCCTCCCCTCACCTTGATCCCTCCCCGTTTCGTCATAACATATATGCCCAGAAGACACTCTGTTCCCTGCAGAAGTCAGTAAAACTAGGATACTGGGCAGGACATTTCTTCTGTGATTATTTTTATTCGTGCAGCACTTTTCATTCTCAAAGCACTGTACAAGGATTAATCAATCCTCACAACCCTCCTGAGAGGAAGGTAATTTTAGCCCTGTTGTACAGATGGGGAAAGTGGAGCACAGAGAGTTTAAAGAGATGTGGCAAAGTCACACAAAGCGAGTCTCCAGGCCTCCCCACCCTCAGTCTTGTGTTTAATGCACCAGCGCCACAGTTTCTGACCAGATTCTCTTCTCCCCTGTGCAACACTCAAAAATACCTGAGAACTTTTTGCTGAAACTTTCTATAAACAAACTCACCCCTGGGCTGGGAATGGGAGTAAATTCAGCCCCAAAGGAATGTATTTGTCAAATTTATGAGCCACTGGAAAAGGAGGATTATAGCAGGAGCTGCATTTCAACTTTCACAGGTGCCACTAAAGCCGCTTTTATCTGCAGTAACGTGCAAACGTTAGGCCCAATCCTTGCTCATATTGAACGCCCATTCAAGTCAATAGGATTTGGATAAAGACACATGGCCAAATTGTCTCAGCACCAGGAAACTCCCACAGGGTCAA